CTCTCAAGAAAATTCGAAAAAATGCATTAACGATTTCCGTTGCTTCACCACTGTTTTAGATTTTATCACTCTTGATGATTTATGTTTGGTTTCAGATCCTTTTTTTCTATTATTTACTTCTCCGATCTTTCAATACGAGTATTAATTCTACTAATCAAAACGGCTAATAAAAAAAGTAGAGATATTATCTTACTAAACCATTTGATTAGTGCAGAGATCAATCAGATCCAACGAGATACATAAACATATCTAAACCAAGTTTGAAAATGGAGACAACCACCACGATGAATGTGTTCTTCCCTCGTACAAACCTAAAATCCGACTTAACGAAACACACAGAAACCTCCTCCTTCTATCTCTAGTAAATCGCCACATCCAGATAATCTCCAATCTGCAAAGAGATGATTACATTTCAGTTATAGCTCTCCTTTGATTAAGAAAGTTACAATATCATCCAAAAGATTTATCTTCTGTGCTTGAACTTACCTCGAAATCAAGGTCAGAAAGCGTTTTAGTGTCGTCTGGTTGTTTTCTGTTTGGATAAGACATCGTCTCGCCAACCTTTATCAATTAACAAAAATCAGTCTCTTCTCATAGGTTCTGATGATGACATAGTATGATGAGGACATCAAGTCATCATCAGGTTCTTAGATTCATAATCGAACATAACAAAAAAAAAACAAGTAAAGCCGTAATGACTGAATCCAAAAGCATCCATTCAATTAAACTAATACAGCCCAAGTTCCAAAACCATAAGCATGAGATGAGTAGTCAAGGCTTATGATTTGTGTTCGAGATATATTATAGAAACATTGTTGATAAAACTGTTAATGATTTGTAGCTAAAACAGAAACTCTAGAATGCATCAATGATCATGTGTGGTGGTGCTATGGTTATATCATAATATCTAATCAAAATTGTGCAGAAATAGTAATCTTACTTCTCTCACAATAAAGCGACCGTTCTTGTCCGGATAAACAAAAGCAAAAGATAACCTTGCATTCCTTCTCCTAGCTGCTACAGAAACTTCTTTGACCTGTAATGAACAAACGCAAAAGATATAGTATTACTCTGTGATTAAGAGTTGAATTTCGAATCAATCATCAGTAAAACAAAGTGACTTCTTTAGCTCAAACAAGATTCACTATATAGAGCCTGCTCTATTGTTGTTGACCTGAGCACATCTTTGAAGTAACAAATACATACCAAATCTGTTAACTCGCGAAGATTAGCGTCTTTCCAAGTGTAAATTTGAACTTCATCTTTTGGTTCTTTGCCTCTCACAGCATAATCTTCCTTAGTATGATGACCACCAGTCTGCAAAAACTCCAATTTTCTCAGAAAGAGTAAGCTCAACTAAATGCATCAAACTAGCTTTTGATGACTAAACCAAACATTCATCAATTCTCTCGATTGTGTCATTAGGCTAGCCAAAGATACAATAAATCGATCAAATTGACGACAATCACCCGAAAAAGCAAACCACAAAATCAGCAAAATCTATGAACAATTTAAGACCCAGAATCGGAGGAAAGCAAGCTGAGCAGTGAAGCGTACCTTGGTGAAAACACGAAGAAGCAAAGGACATGTCTGCGATTCGAAGATACAAGGAATCATTGAGTGTAATATAAAAAACCCTAGAATTAAGAAACGGATCCAAAGCGAAGAAGAAGAAGGAAGAACCCTAGATGAATCGGAGACAAACCTTTTCGCGATCTACAGGTACGGTTCTAGAGCGAGGAGGTTGATTAAAGCTTCTCGGAGGAGGCGGCAATGGCCTTCCACCACCTTGTCTTCTCGCTGCTTCAGCCA